AAATACTTCGAATTGGGTGATTTGAAGTAGAACTCGTGAATATTATTTATAGCCAATCCAAATTTGTTTTTTTGTTTGAATTTGAATTTGAATTTGAATTTGCGGTTGGTTTGAAATTTGAATTTGAATTTGAATTTGAATTTGAATTTGAATTTGCGGTTGGTTTGAATTTGTCGGTGGTCAACATTTGAAATTGAATCATTTTGTACAAACTGATCAGCTTTACACATTATCCAACGTTGTCAGTGGGAATTAATTTTTGAAATCAGGTCAGCTTTGCACATTGTCCAACGTATACACAGCTCAGCTCTCCTTGAATTGTGTTTACACATTGTCCAACGTATACACAGCTCAGCTCTCCTTGAATTGTGTAAAATACTATTGTACGAGTGAGAATCAATTTTGAAATCATGTCAGCTTTACACATTGTCCAACGTATACACAGCTCAGCTCTCCTTGAATTGTGTGAAAGCTTTGTACGAGTGAGAATCAATTTTTAAAATCAGGTCAGCTTTACACATTGTCCAACGTATACACAGCTCAGCTCTCCTTGAATTGTGTAAAATACTATTGTACGAGTGGGAATCAATTTTTGAAATCAGGTCAGCTTTACACATTGTCCAACGTATACACAGCTCAGCTCTCCTTGAATTGTGTGAAAGCTTTGTACGAGTAGGAATCAATTTTTGAAATCAGGTCAGCTTTACACATTGTCCAACATATACATTAGGTACATCCACACAATTACTCGTCGTTGTGTTAAAATTATTATTCTCCATTTGTGCATACTTCAGTCATTCTTTTCTTACTTCAAAAATAAATTTCGATGTTGGAGGTCCATCATACTTATCATCATCTTCATCTTCGGATGATGATAATTTTCTGTCCAATATCATTGCAGAGATTGATGAAACCGAAGAAGTAATTTGTGAGTACATCAACAACAACATAATCCTCGTTAACAATTTACGTCAACACAACTACCAACCGATCCATGGTGGCTCGATTCCCGATCATGCAGTGATCAACCGCGATCGAGAAAATGCGCATCAGAATTTGATCATAGATTACTTTGCCGATAATCCACATTTTGGAGAAGATATGTTTCGTCGTCGATATCGGATGTCAAGAAGTTTGTTCCTTCGTATTGTTGATGCAGTGAAAGATCATGACTATTACTTCTAACAACGAAGTGATGGACTTGATAGAATGGGATTATCACCGTTACAGAAAGTAACAGTTGTTTTTCGCATGTTGGCATACGGTCTACCAGCTGATGCTACGGACAAATACGTTAAAATAGGTGAGTCAACAACAATTGAAAGTATGATAAAATTTTGTCGTGCTATGGTGGAAATATTCGCAGAGCGGTATCTACGAACACCTAACGCTAACGATATTGCTAGGCTACTCTATATTAGAAAAAAACGTGGTTTTTCAGGAATGTTAGGAAGTCTTGATTGTATGCATTGGAAATGGAAAAATTGTCCAACAGCATGGTCTGGGCAATACACAGGACGTAGTGGGTCACCAACTATTATCCTCGAAGCTGTGGCAGATTATGATCTTTGGATATGGCACGCATATTTTGGTATGCCAGGCACCAATAATAATATCAATGTGCTGGAGTCATCTAATCTTTTCTCTAACCTAGCTCAAGATATTGCTCCTCCCGCTCACTATGTTATTCAAGGAAAAGAGTATAATATGGGTTATTATTTAGCTGATGGTATATATCCGAAATGGGCTACAATTGTACAAACAATCCAACAGCCACAAGGTAGGAAGAAAAAATATTTTTCCATGAAACAGAAAGCATGTAGAAAAGATGTAGAACGTGCGTTCGGAGTTCTCCAATCACGATTTGCAATCGTGGCAGGATCAGCACGTTTTTGGAAAAAACATGTATTGCATGACATAATGACTACATGCATTATTATGCATAATATGATAATCGAGGATGAACGTGATCTTTATGCACCAATTCAAGAAGTGAGGGAAGCACCAATACCAGAAGTTGATATGATAGCAGATGAAACTACAAGATTTGGTCAATTTATTGCACGTTACGAAAAAATCAAGGATAAAGATGCCCATTTTGCGCTTCGTAATGCATTGATAGATCATCTATGGGAGGAATACACTAATTCAGATAGTTAAGAGCATACTAAATTTGTAATTTTTACATTGTTGTTAATGTTTAATTATTTTCTTACATTTTATTTTCTGTTGTGTTCTTGAATGTAATATTTTGGCAATATTAATAATAAAAATATAATATTTTAGCAATCAAGTTATTTTAATTAATAAAATAATATTTTATTGTTTTATTAGTTTAATTTTTAAATAATAAATCATTTTGTTTGGAAAATATGTGAAAAAATAAAATTTGATATGTGAGGTTAATTGTTGAAATAGTTAAAAATATAGAGAATAAAAAATAATAATATAAAAGTAGATAAAAAGAAAATGGTGCAATGGGTTGGAGATGAATTACTGTTAGATGTGACTTTTGCACCATTTTGGTGCAAAATTTGCACCATTTTGAGGCAAAGGGTTGGAGATGCCCTTAGTAAGTTAGTTTATGAATCTCATGATTAAACAATAATTATGTAGATGCGTAGATGGTTCTTTATTCTTGATGTTATCTTATTATTTGCTTGTTTATTATTCTATTTTGACTAACATTATATATTTTTTTTCAAGTTTATGTTTATTTATTATTTGCTAGTATATTACTCCGATAAATACTACTTACCCTCGATTTTCGCTATCCGATAAGGATTTTGACCGTCCGATAAATCCCCGATAACCGACATTTAAAACCTTGCTTCTTATCCACTCATTCAATTATCCAAGTAATGTGCACCTATGTGAATGTGATCCTCCTTTTAAATAAGTGGATGAGAAAGTTTCACCTCAATACCAAGCACCAATTTTGTGCTTGGTATTAAACATACCCAGTATATATATAGGAAAGTGATAAAATGAGATACTGAGCTCATATTCTTATTACGAACTAGCCCAATAAGCTACGCGAAACGATGATCAACACCACCCATCGTGATTTGCACTCATCATGATCTATATGTAGAAAAAATATACTATTTTAAATTTTTTAATTATTGTTTTAGCTATGTATAGAAGGGATGGCTGTTAAGCTGTTTATAAAATCAACATATCAAACTAGTTTGATTTATATTTTAGAAGACTCAAAATTATGTAAAATTTTTATTATATACATGTGATGGACGTGTTGAACAAGATGTACGGTGCCGATCAAGGTTATCAATAGCGGATAGTGTCGTGTAGCGATGAGGCATCGCTAAGGCTATTTGGGGCTATTGCGGTAAAATAATGGTAAAAAACGTAAAATTAAATAGCGGTCTAATTTAGATGTGTAAATACTAAAAAAGATTAAAAAAAATCTAGAAAATCTAAAAGTACATATTTGATGATTTAAAGAGATCCTAAACATGAAATAGACATGTAATCGTCACATAATACCAAAAACGACTGGAGGAGAAGTCAAATCGTCATCATCTTCGAGAAGATGAGCTAAGCGGTGAGAGGACTGCCCTAGGAGGAGCTCACGGTGAAGTAGGTGAGAGGAAATGCTGAGTTAGATGCCAGAGGCTATGAGAGGAGGCAGGAACACGCTGAAAATCGCGGGGCGCGGTGGAATGCAGTGGTTAAAGCTTGGGTTTAATTTAAAAAAAACCCAAACCACTTTTAAATAGTAGTCAATATGCGGATTTTGCACACAATTACCCGCTATTTACCGTTAGGGCGCGCTATTGGCCGCTTTTGCCAACGAAAAGCGCATATTACGAAATGTCACCGCTATTGGGCGATAGCGTAACGGGAAGAAACCGCTAACGCTATTAGCGCTGTCATTACGGGGCTATTTACCACTATTTATAACAGTGATGCTGATAATGAATTTGATGAACCGATTAGTCTAGCTCATGATAAGATTTGAGCTCATCATCTCACAATATCATTGCTATAATAAAATATATATATAATATTATACTAATATATTGAATTACATGAGTTATCCTTGTCATAGGAGGGATTCCTCCTGAGCCTCTAAATCACAGATGACGCGACATTATAATCCGCTCCGTTGAACTTATTCTACATATTCTACAAACCCCACACCGACCAAGTTGGGATGAATCCTTCGCTGTTGCCCTCTATCGGCCAATGTGAACAAGTTCTATTCATTCAAACCGTTAAATATTGATACGAGTCGGATGATCATGTCAAAACGAACGACGGGTTCACGCCCAAAACCTTGGATGTTGGATTTTAAGAATTATCGTAGATCAAGTTCAACTGACACGCGATCATCCACGAATATCGCTCAATCATGTGATTTTAGAGACGTCATATGAGAAATCCCTCCTATGACAGATACCAGTAATCTCATCTCTCTCTCTCTCTCTCTCTCTCTCCTCTATATATTAATATTAATATATATATATATATATACTATATATATTAGAGTATTATGCTGAGAAATATTGCCGTGTGCTGGGAGTGAGTTCAAATCTCTCTCCACTCATTCAATGTGGAATCAATCAGCATGATACGTTGTCATGGGGATGTGACAGCATATTACCATAGTACAAAAATTGTTGTTGGTACCAAAATACCATAATATATATGAAAGAAGAGAGACAATATAAAGGAACTTCGTACCAGCGACAGAAGTTTTATCAAGTAGTGAGTTCAAATCTCCTCTTACTCATTCAAATGGGGGAAACCACTATTCACATGCGGTTGAGAGTGGATGAGAATTGACACCTCACACTAAGCACAAAATTTATGCTTAGGTCCAAGTTCCTACATTTTATCTCATATATATATATATATAGTATATATATATAATTATATATAATATATATATATATATATATATATATATATATATACATACTATATAACTAAAGTTCTGAAACTTATATAAAATCCTTAAAAATAACAGCACGCACCTTGATTATAACATAGGTTTCCACCTTCATAAGCCAAACTATCCCAATACTCTCCAATAGCAAAAGCAGGATTTGAAGCCTCAATGTATTCCTTCACATACCCACCTGAGAAACCTCTGAAAGGAATAAAAGAAACCATCTAGTACAAACAAAGATACTAAAATCTCACTAGCTGCAACCAAAAGATATACACTAGCAGTTGTATCCGTATCTTTGTGGCTTCAAATGATAGGTGACACCGCACTTGTGTATATCAAAGACTATCACCAAAATTTTGCTTTTAAAGCCATAGATGATGAACAAATATTTTACAGAGAATTTATGTTAACATTCGGTATTGAATCCAATAGCTTGATATTATTACAAGACAAAAATATAACCCTCAACCTTCACCACAACTTCGGAGTTTTAGCATAGTGGCAGGGAATCCCCCCAGCCACAAATTTAAAACGGATTTTCTTAAAAAATTGACATCACTGCGTGAGTCGAGGTTTCGGCCCATAAAATGGGCCCTCAACCTGAGGGGCATTTAAGAATATAAAAACATAACCCTCAATTCTCAACCCTCATCACAACTTCGCATTTTAGAATATAAAAACAGAACACTCAGTTCTCAACCCTCATCACAACTTCGGAGTTTTGATGTAGTGGCAAGGACTTTAAGAGATGCAATGGGAAAGACCTAAAAGATTAGAAGGTGAAAGATAACTATCCTATCAGGAGAGTAGACTTCTCTTGGCGGTTACCTGCTGACTATACGGAAGAATCTTAGTAACAGTAGACTAGTACAATAACAAATGAAGCTAATCTTTAGAGTAGAAATTTGTTTCGTTAAGGATAATGTTCTGCATCGCTATTTTGCTAGAAGAACAATTCGGTATATAATGGTACCATGAGAGTATAGAGAGAGGCTCACAAATTCTTAGAGAATTATGATTCATGCTCCATGTTAGTGTTTTTTCTTCAATAACACTAGGTGTGACTAGTTAGTCTGCTTTGTGGTTTTGAGGACATGAAAGTCTACATCTGTACAGGATAATCTTATCTGTACCGGTTATAAATAGCATTGCATATATTTACGACTACAAAGAATATTATTGTTGCCTTTAGAAAGAAAAGTTAAACATAAACCATATGAGTACATGGAAACAATAAGTTACATTAAAAAAAAAACTAGATATGCCATTCACCTAACAAAGTCCAGGCGCCACCCGTCAAAACCAATATCATTACGAAGCCAGTTCAACCATTCCTTGATGTCTCTTCGTACAAATTCTTGAGAGTGGTCAATATTGGGAGCTGCATGGAAAATATCACCTGCCAATACAGTAGATAACAATAGATAATTTGCTTTCACTAAAGTGGATAGTCCATTGGAAGTCACCTGTAACTCTTCTAAAATAAATAGAGGGCATTTAGATAACAATGTGATTGATTCTGCAAAGGTGATAGTTGATGGAATTCTTAGATGTCACCCCCCCGACTTGTAAGGTAAAAGGAAATAGGAGGAGCTATCTTTACCTTAAGTAGTAAGGATCACCTATCTGAAAATAAGAAAGAGACATAGGCACTAACTTTTATGGTTGTAACAATATCTGAAAGTTCGTGTGAATCATATCTCCAAACTGGAGTTTACAAGCCTTTATGATATCTTTCAGATGTCTAACCTCTTTGTAAAAGAAAAGATAAAAGCTATAGAACCTAGCACAAAAGCAACATTTTTTACAGTAACATAGAGAAAATGGCTTGTGTTGCTGTCAGTTGCATCTTAGGCTAGTCAAATGCAAATCATGTGGTTTTCCCTTCTTTACACTACCGCTACTTGTTTTTGGCAGCACTTATATACCCTAAAGTTTTTAAACAATTTCACTTAACTACCCTATCTTATGCAAATGTGAGAATACTTTTCCGAAAATTCTCATATGACATTCACATTCTCATTTTAGAACAGTTTAACCCTTAATTTGTTGTTAAATTTACAGTTAAACCCACCTTAATCCTATTTAAACCTATCCAAATTCTACTTTAAAATAGAATAGTAATAGATTTAACAGTAAATTTAACAAAAATCAAGGGTTAAAATGTTCTAAAATTTGAATGAGAATATCGCATGGGAATTTACGGCGAAATATTCTCACATTTGCAGAAACATTAGGTATTAAAGACCAATTTTCAAAAACTTCTGGGTACATAATTGCAGCAAAAAACAAGTGAAGATATATAAATGCAAAGTAAGGGATACTATATAAGGTATTTTAAGTGCTAATTGGCCAAAAAGTCACTTTACTCTTCTTCTTCAAGACATTGCATCTGCATTGTAGAACTTTTGGAAGCTTCTTGTTAAAAAGGGTGAAGTCAAACTCAACATCAAGTTGCCAAATGCTGTGTAGTTTCCAAGACAACACTAGTGTACAAGGCCATCTTATTTTCTTTGTTCTAGACATACTTGCGTCCAATAACACCACATAACTTTGTATATCTGTCATCGACAATACTGTGTATTGCTCTCTACAATCAAGTTGTTCATTTTTATGTTCAAGATCTCAGGGACCCACTTAAACCATTATTCCGTAGGTCTAATAGAAGACTAGTACTACAAGATAAAAACAGATAGGCTCTGACTTAATTTGAATCATAACACCCCTAATATGTATCACCCTTTATCTACATTTCAACATAAATGCTACACTGACATCATGGCTTCACACACAAAAATAAAAGAAATAAATAAAATAGAAAATAAAAGAAATAAATAAAATAAAAAATAAAAAATTTAACGGACTGCTAGTTAAGGCCTTGATATGTGTTGCCAAGAAGGGTTTGCCTTAAGGTTGGTAGCCCATTGGGCACTCAATTGAACAGTTGGGTCCAGAGGCAGGTCTAGACTGAGATATTATGATGCAAGTAATAACAAGTTTGTTGACAGCATAATACAGAAAGGTCCATAGTTTATAGCTCTTCTCATTTATCATCTTATGGTACATGGATAGTTGAAGCCAGCAAACCCAACAAAGAAAGAGCACAATATAAAGACGCCAGACATGTGGAAGATTTTGAATTACAATTATTGGGAGTACTTGAATCAGTTAGAAGAATGACCAATCCAGTTGTAGAATATTTGATCTATTGCACCCATTTATGATTGCCTTATCCACTACAACCCAACTCATAGTGTTATCATGCAATAACTTCCATGAATGTGCAGAACCAGACATGATGCAGGACTCATTTGGTATGGAAAAAACTTAAACCAATAACTAAAACCACCGATCCAGTGAAGAAATAAGCTCTTGCACCAGTTATACTACGCTCAAAATGGCTTTGAGAAATGAAGGTTTAAGTGGCTCTAAATCCAAACCATATACAACTTGACTTGGGTTGGACTGGACCAAACACGAAGTGCCTCTAAGTGAACTCAGATCAGGTGAAATGTAAGTTGGAGAGACCAAAACATGAATGAATCATGCTTCAAGGTTTGATTCCTTAGCTGAACCTATCTGCTGCTTACATAACAATGTACTTTCCAGATCATCTGTTTTGCTTACCAGTCGATGGATTTCCACGCCCTTGAAAATTTGGATCATCACAGACAATTGCTTCAGGTCCCCATGCAAGCTTACCACCAAAGATATTCCACACCCCATTTGGACTCTAAAAATATATATAACAAAAGTCAACTGCTGATGGACAAGTTCTCTATCATTAAGAACAGATAAATTGACAACTGGTACAGGGATCAGTACTTCGAAGTTCGAACAGCAATGAGCAAATATCACTAAAGCTAATTTAAAACATATGAATTGAAAACAATGGTGGCAATATTAGTAGGTGGTAAAATGGGTGATGCAGGATGATCGTGGACCATGGATTTAATGAAATTAGGATTTACTAGGATCTTTACTTTTTTGGTAGGATCTGATTTTATTTTGTCATCTTCTTTTTTAGTTAGGATTTCTTTAGGATTTGATTTTGAGATATCCTTCTAGTATAGTTAGGATTTATTTGATTGCATCTTTTAATTATGTTAGGATTAGATTTGATTAGGATCTTAATTTGCTTCCTTAAATGTTTAGATGCTTTTCTCTTCTATAAGTAAGATGCAATTCTCCATGACAATAGACATTGATAAATACAAATTTGAGTTATGAGAATTATCTTAAACATGTGAAATTGCTAAATGGTAAGGCTATGGACTCCTCTTCAAGTCTCTGCCCTCCAATCAATCAAAACCCTAATCCTCAAAAAGGGCGCTAGAAAAAATTAAAAAAAAAAGGTTATTGTTCATCCACGTGAATAGTACCTTTGTTACACTTCATTCAACCCTCCTCGATATCTAACCCCTCGTGCCTCTTCGTCGTTCAATGAGCCCCGATGATTTCTCATGATCCGATCGAGTATCATTATCGCCGGATCTCCTCCAACATGACTCTAGAAAGAAATCGAGGACTTAAACATCTACTTGCTCCTCCTTTTAGATCCCGTTCAGTTTCGGGTACCCACCAAAATTCACAATATTGAGAACCTCAACCTTCCAATCGGATCTGAATTAGTGTCAAAGGCATCACATTAGAGAGCCTTCTACTTTCAAACTGGAGCCTCCACCCTAGTACGCATTAATGGGTAGTCTAGATGTACAACCAAGATAACAACTTATATCAGAAGAAAGAAAGAAACACAAGTTAAATTGAACATCAATCAACACTATCTATCTACGTTTTGGACTACGACAAAAATACTTTTCAGTCTTTTTTTACATCTCTTAAATTCTAGGTTACTAATTGCCACAAAATGATGAAATATGATACTTTATGGTCAATATGTTGAGTGGATATAAGGGCATGTTTACTTTCGTATCTCTTGAAGCATCTAGATCAAAAGATTTAAATACGCTTGATTTCATACTAATGATCTGAAATTTAACGACAAGATGCAGAATATATTGACAAAGTGTAGTGGTATTTCATTAAATATATACAACAACAATGACAACATCAATAACAAAGTCTTTATCCCAAATGTTTGGGATCAGCTACGTGAATCATATTCTTCCATCCCGTTTTATTATGGGTCACCTCCTCTTTTAAGTTAATCATTATCATATTCTTATTAATTGCTTCCAACTAAGTTTTCTTGGATCTACCTCGAGGTCTTTATGTCCCTATTAACCATAATATTACCACTTTTCCTATCCGGTGTACTAAGAGTTCTCCGTTGTACATGTCCAAACCATCTTAATCAATTCGCTCTCATTTTATCTCCAGTAGGAGCAACTTTAAATTTATTACATATGCACTCATTTCTTGTTCTACATTTATATCGTAACAATCTCATTTCTGCTACACTCATTTTTTTACACATGTTTTTTTATTGCCCATCATTCTAACCCATAAAGCACTATTGGTCCTATAACCATCCTATAAAAAAAAAAAATTTAGTCTCAGGTATTCTACAATCACATAAGACTCCCGAAGCATTCCTCCATTTTAGTCATCTCGATTTAATTTGATGGACAACCTCAATCTCACCATCATGTCGAGTGATTAATCCTAAATAACGGAAGTGATTATAGTTAGCAATCAAGTTTTATATGAAAATGTTAAATTAGTTATAGAAATTATCAAGTTTTACATCATCTTAAATTGGGTTATAGTTAGCGAGCTATAAAACTACCGTTTATCTAAGGTGACATCTGATGCACTCTAGGAAAAGATCTAGGTGCGTTATGATATTTTGTTAGGACTTAGGAGAGAAGTAGCCCATTCTAGTAAGAATATTGCTTTGTCTCGAATAAAAAATTCAATTTGATCAGCACCTCAGTTATCTTCTTTTTGATAGTAGAAATACAGAAGGTTTATTAGAAAGCCAGTTTATCTGATGGCTACATATCTAGATATTCCACTCATTATACGTCTGATTAATCTGTTCATGAAAATGGCAGCTTACTTGGGATTTTTTTTTCTTTTCCCCAAACAAACTCTAGTAAAGGATTCAACTTTTGGCCATCAAATAATGTTGACATGTGGGTTATTTTTATATTGATTGGGCAGGTGATCATCTTGATTATCGATTAAGTAGTGGATATTGTATCTTTGTAGGGGGTACTATTATAACTTGGATTAGTAAAAAAGCATGTTGTGATTGCTCATACTGGTATATAAATATGGCTTATGTTCCCTGTGAAATGATGTAGGTTCAATCTCCATTACTGGAAATGGATTTTTGCTGCACTCGTCTTATGCACATGATTTTCATAATCCAACAAATATACACATCAGCCATAGTCCAACTTTCCATGAGTGGACTAAACACATTGAAGTTCATCGGATTTTTACTCGCATATGGTAACATAGGGAAGATAATTGTCACCACTACATATTTTTCTTCTAGAATCTTATTGTTGATATTTTCATACAGTCATTCTCTTGGAAAGTTTTCTCTAACATTGTAGCAAGTTGAGTGTGATTAACATCTAACAGCTTGATAGAGTGTTAAATTTTTGACATTAATTGACTTACTTCATCTACATAAATATGAGTTGAACCCAATTAAGATTGATGACTCTTCCAAGTTCTCACTGAAGAGCAGTAATCGAACCTAATGAACACATTGCAGTACCAAGAAAACTTGATAACTAAGAGATGCTACTAAAATTTAAACAGCATTGTTATGGGTTAGCTGATCAAATCTAGCTTTTTGATACAAACTGCTAGTCATAAGTCTTACTTTGAATAACACAAAGCAATATATCCAACAAACAAAATGGATGTGCAATGCCGGAGAATCAACAAGTTTATCACATACCTGCTTATGAGCACATCTATGGTTAAGTACCACATCTCCCAAGGCCTGTGTGAGAAAGATGTTATGAGAGTCCAAAATAAGCCAAGATATGACAAAAACGTACATGAAATAGTGGTACCAGAAGAATAAAGATTAAAGAAACAAGTACGACAAGGCAGAAGCATGAAAAAAAGATGGAAAATAAAAGGAAAATAAAATTTAAAATATTATGACATGTTCTAACAAGTATCACATGTAACTACCTCATTCCAACGAACCAAATATGCATTTTAGAGAAAGCATCTAATTCACCTCTCACATAAGTTTTGTATGATCTAAACCGACTCCTTTCATGTGAGTTCTGTATTGTTTAAACCGAGAAAGCAGTTGGCATTACATAATACATACAGTTAGGAGAGTTAGTTAATGCAAGCATTTTGATTTCAGGTGCCAATCAGATCCCTTGAAACTTTACCAGAGTGATTCCAAACATATGGATAGGAGAGCTAGGCATATAGCACAAGCATTTCTCTTTCAGGTTGCGGTCAGTTCCCTTGAATTTTTACAAGAGTGATCCCTATCACTCTAAAACTGTTTCTTCCTTTTCGTGGTTTATTAAGACCCTGCCCTTAGTTCTTAATCTTTACTTCATTTTGGCATGTCCAAAAACAGGTAGGTTGCATGCTCATTTTATGTTTTATCATCTTATTCGCATAATCACGTAGTCTGCATCATGGTTATCCACCAAATTGTTCTTTTCTACATGCTTTTTCTTATTCTCTTTTCTTTCTTTGAAGAAGAATTTTCTTCGATTTGTAGTCTATATGTATATTCTTGCTTATAAGACATTAAGGTACCGTTTGGCAAAGGGTTAAGTGAGGTGTTAAGGAGACTTAATCCCTTTTCAACCTACCAAACACAACAAATCTATATAAGGGTTAAAGTGAGTTAACCCTCCATAATTTGCCAAACATGAAAAATATAGAAGGGTTAAGTTAACCCCTCTAGAGGGGTTAAAATGAATTAACCCCTCAAAATGAGGGGTTTACTAATACTCCTATTTAGATAGAATAAGAGTTAACCCTTCTAATTATAAAGAAAATAGTTAAAATCATTGTTATTCCCAAACACTAAAACTGATCATTAGGGCTAAAATAAAACTTATTTAACGGGTTAATAATTTAGTCCTTCGGATTATCAAATGGGCTAAGTACATTAATCATTCTCTTTAACCCCTCTTCATTAACCCTTTGCCAAACGGGGCCTAAGGTTACAGAAAGGCCTAGGCAGCTTAGGTGTTCGACTTGACGCCAAGAGCCAAGGCGATTTTCCTATTTATATTTTTTAATTATAATAATTGATAATAAACGCTAATATTATAGGAAGCTCGGGTGTTAGACTGATGTGTACATAGATTTCTTTCTTCATTAAGTGGTGGGGTGGAGGTTGGATGACGTGAAGGATACAACGGAGGAAATCACGATCAAGATCTAAAGAGTGCAGTCCACATAAGCAGTCTACGCTTCCCTAGGCACTCCCAAAATCCAGGTGGCAGCCTAGGTACCACGTAGGTGTTAGGCGCTAAGTAGACGGCCTAGGTACCGTCTATGCTAAGTTGCGTGGAAACGGTTATGGGTACCGGTACAGGTGCGAGTACTCGTATGGAACATGACAAGTTTGTGAAATATAGGGTACACGAACATGGCTACAAATATATGTCGAAATTAGTAATTTACATGAGATTATTATTATTTTTCAATCACGTGCTATTTGAACTTAAATTCTTATCCTATTTTAAGTTTCTTTTATTTGTTGATTGCTATAAATTGGGAATGACTCTTTTTTTTAATAGACACTCAAACCAACCTTTTATATCATACTTTTTAACTTGCATATAGGCTGAAACAATCAGACCCATGTCTACCGAGTTTCAGGAAATGGACATGATGTATAGGATATACATCCAAGAAGTGTATGCCAAGTATTTTAAGTAAATAAATATATCATATTGAGTACATGATTGGGTAAATGTATGCACATACCCAAGGAGCGTCCATGAAGTTTAGGTGCGGGTAAATGTCAGGTACGGCTTCAAGATAGAAGTACACAGGTAACATAGCGCCTATGCCTAGGCGGGCTAGGCGGAGGAGTTTTAAAACATTGGACAGCAGAGTTAAAAATAATTTCAATTGTTATCTAGGCTCAAGTATGATGCTTCTGGTCCTTTTTGGAAACTCTCTTTGCTTACTATTCCTTGCAAAGAACTTAACAGTATATAGTAAAGCTAAAAGGAGGAGCCAGGATTTCCAATAAGGCACGAAGCTCACACCATCCATTATATATTGGCTATAATGGTTAGCTGGTGGCCACTTTAACAAAAAATTAAAGAAGACGTTTATAATTTTCTTTCCTACTTTTTCACATAGGATAAAAATATCTTTAAATTGTAGAAATATTTCTAATACTTGGAAAATAATAAGTAAACAAAAATAAATAAAGAAGAAATGAGAACAAAAGGAATTTATGTTAACTCAGATCTAGCTTATGCACAATAAGTTCTTCTTTAGTTTTATTTATACTTTTAGATCTTCTTCAAGTGGACTCAACAGTAAAACACCGCGATTTAGGTCTCTAGGGAATATAGTATCCTGAAGTCTAAAGTGAATCCTCCCTAGATACAAGAATTATGTTATTGTGGTCTATTCCATGAACTACAATTTTCTTAGCAGTATTTTGTCAATTATTATACAAGCTGAATTCACATAATAACTAAAAAATGGTTTATTTATTTAAAATAAAAATTAATTGGAAGTTGACAATATAACTTAAAAATATCATGCCAATGACGTGTATACTTAGCTGACTTAGCTTATCAGCGTAGAAAATCTAATACAATTTAGTATTCATTTTCTTGGAGTCAGCTTAGCAGCTTATGGAAGTGGTTAATATTAAGCATTATATAATCAGATAGCAATTGGTTTGTATGTGGTTTTCTTGATTGATCCCATCACACAGTAAACAGTTTGCCACCGATTGTCAGAACACTAGTAAATAGGTGCATTGAAAACAGGGTTATCGAGATCAAATCTGTTTCCCAATCAACAGGTCTCATGCACCATGTTTTACTAAATTCTAACGTGGAGCGGGTACACTTTTACTTAGAGACTAGGCGACAAAACCAGCAACGGCTTAACTTGGCTCCAAGCTCTAAAGCTACTATAGAAGCAAAGCATATTACCTAAAAATGAAGAGAGTCAGAGATTATTTCCGGTGAACTTCCTAACAAAGAAAATGTCAAAACTGCATCAAAAGGAAAAGATGGAGTGCATGTGCATGTCACAGCTTCAAACTTTATATTAAACTGGAAAGTGGGGCCCTAATTTGACAGAGAGAGAGAGAGAGAGAGGGAGAAAGGGAGAGGGAGAGAGGGAGAGAGGCTTGAATTGTGTGGTCCACTGTGGTACAAACAATCTTCCAAATAGAAAAGGACAGCTTCAGAATAAGAAGAGATAAATGAATATAGTAATAATTGCAGGATTGACATAAATATTTGCAGTTTGTCACCCATAAAATGCTTTCCAGGCCATATAACTGCCTGTAAAAGGAAAAGAAAGAAAGAATAAATGAGACCAAAGGGAATTTATGTTAACTCAGATCTAGCTTACGCGCGATAAGCTCTTCTATCAGTTTTATTTATACTTTTAGATCTTCTTCAAATGGACTCAACAGTAAAACACCGCGATTTAGGTCTCTAGCTCTAAAGTGAATCCTCCCTGGATACATTAATTATACTATTATGATCTATTCCGTGAACTACAATTTTCTTAGTGGCATTTGTTCAATTATTATACAAGTTGAATTCACAGAATAACTAAAAAAGGGTTTATTCATTTAAAATAAAATTTAATTTTAGAAGTTGACAATATAACTTAAAAAATTCATGTAAATGATGTATATACTCAGCTTATCAGCGTAGAAAATCTAATACAATTTACTATTCATTTTCTTGGAGCAGCTTAGCACCTTATGGAAGAGGTTAATATTAATTATTATATAATATGCTGAATTCAATCAGATAGCAATTGGTTTGTATGTGATTTTCTTGATTGTTTCCATCACACAGTAACCAGTTTGCAACTGATTGTCAGAAAACCAGTAAATAGGTGCGTTAAAAACAGGGTTATCTAGATCAAATCCGTTGCCCAACCAACAGGTCTCACGCACCATATTTTTCTAAATTCTCACATGGAGAAGGTACACTTTTACGTAGAGACTAGGCAACAAAACCAGAAACGGCTTAACTTGGTTCCAAGCTCTAAAGCTACTATAGAAGCAAAGCATATTGCCTAAAAATGAAGAGACTGAGAGATTATTTCTGGTGAGCTTCCTAACAAAGCAAATGTCAGAATTGCATCAAAAGGGAAAGATGGAGTGTTTGCCCACTTTATATCAAACTAGAAAGTGGGGCTCTAATCTGTTATAGAGAGAGAGAGAGAGGGAGGGGGAGAGTAGAGGGGGAGCGGGAAAGTGGGAGAGGGAGAGGGGGAGAGAGGCTTGAATTGTGTGGTCCACTGTGGTACAAACAATCTTCCAAATAGAAAGGACAGCTTCAGAATAAGAAGAGAATGAAAATAGTAATAACTCCGGGATTGACATAAAAATTTGCAGTTTGTCACCCATAAAATGCTTTCCAGGCTGCATAGCTGCCTGTAATGGACAGAGATGTAAAGAAAATTTAATATTCTTGAGCTGATGAAGGTTTACCAGAAGATCTTGAGCATGCATTTCATTAATGCACTGTTTAAGGTCCTCCACAGTCCCATAGGCAGAATTCAAATTGTAGAGATCAGAAGGCATATAACCTAGAACACATCCAAACAGCAAATCAATGATATGCAAAATTATATTAGGTTTATTCTACTATGATACTTAATCCAAATTTGGCAGATTCTAAATAATCAGACAAGAACAAAAATCACAGAAAATTCTATAGCCTAGAAAGCATTCACAAGGGGTATTTTCTTGATACAAATTTACAGCATCCCAGAGAGTTACCTGCCCAAAAGTATAGCGCAAGAAAATGTAGATGCATATAAAAACCATCACTATTCTTGCGAATCGATATGCATATAGCTCAGAAAATCAATTAGGAGCAATATATGTATATAAATGATTTACGACAAGCATCAAAATACATTCAAGTATATGAATTCTGTTTTATGTGCATGAATTCTATTAACAGTGAGATTACTTTGAAATACAAAGACACTTCAAACTATTTCACACGGTACTCATATTATATCCTTTTGTGGTCCTTATTATGTATAGAATTTCCGCCTAACAAGAGATATCTTCACTTCAGCATCCATTGTATAAACTTAACCACGCCGTAGCAGTCCAAGCCATCTCAGAGGTAGATTAATACACATTTGTACTGCTCTAAGCTTCGGTTGCAGAAATCTATCCAGTCACTACAAAGATTCTATGAACTATTTATCAAAACAAGCATACCGCACATAGTCCATGGGAGCCTTCATCAGCAGTGGCTGTCTATCGCGGTTCACTGTATTGCACTAGTCCAATTCATCTTTACAGTTTAAATCAATATTTTACTGCTTTTGGTGTCGAATATTCCAATAATTTATTCATTGCTCCTTCCCATGGGCAAATACATCAGCACCTCATACCATGTGCATGCTTGTAATAATATTACATGACAGTGATTACTAATCAGATGCACTTGGGATATGCCCAAAAAACAAACCTTGAGGAGCAACAGATTCTGTTGGTGGTGGTAACCACACTGCAGTAATCCCACAGTGCGACAAGTCTGCAGCTTTAGGAGCTAGCTCCAGGTACCATTGCCTTCTCCAGCTTTCCCAATTGAAACCTTGAAACTTCAAACATTGAGAAAAACTAAGAATAACTGTAGAAATTTGACCATTAGAACTAATAGACTGTATCCATGATCTATTCAAATGCAGCAAACTCAAGCATAAGTTATATCTATGTAATCGTTGGGTGGCAGATATTACTTTAAAATGCAGCAAACTCAACAACTAAAAAGCATGTGGCAATCAGATCACAGAATTAGTCTATGTAATCGTTGGGAAACTCTACATTTTAAAGTAATATCTGCCACCCAGAAAGAGCATGATATTATATCAACATTTTCCTAGGTATCACTGCAGTTGGGTCATAATGACAAAATGAATGCACCAAAAGGCACAGTCAGTTAATGGACAAACCATTCTAAGAAAATTATTACATTATGGAGAGTTTAAATGAATTCAATTCCAGAGGATCATGATTCTCAACTATTTCAACGTCTTCAGTTATGTTTCTACATGTAGTTGTGCATGTATGTACGTATCAGTATAGATTCTAAAGCCGTTTTAGCAGAACTCATCACTTTAGCATGTCAACTTAGATTTAATAGAATGTGGCCAGATTAATTTGTGCCATAGGAAGGATCAGACTTCTAGCTACTTGCAATGCACACAAACACGAAATATGGTTGTTGCTTGTCACTTGCTTAGATGCTTGCCAATGTGGATGGAGTCTTATCGTTAGCAACATGAGGTGTCACTCTTAAGTGTCAAATAAAATATTTCATCAATGGTTTCGGTCTAACAGCCAATTTCTTGTAGAAAGTTTGGCCACAAAGTGTACTAACCACCAGTACGACCACAGATACGTCCATGATGCTTGCTAGCATCTGCTCATTCGGAAATAATATCAGTTCTGTAAGAGGTTCTTTTACTCGCCGAAAAGAAAAATCTCCATGATATGAGCATAGTTTAGTTGACCAACATGTGAATCCTTTTCTCATAAACAACACATTCAAGTGTGAAAATGCAACCTAGCTCTTGCATATTGCTGGATTAAAAAAGAAGTACAGCTACAACCTTTCTTTTAAAAATGCTGAAAAAGTACCTTTCACTAAGGAACAGAAATCAGATTCATGTAGGAAAAAAGTAATTCAGACAAGAAACTGCGTAGTCTTGGGACCTATTTAGAGACAACATGACAGAATGTGATTGTAGCTGAAATGAGAACTTATAGTTGGATGATTGGATTCACTGGAATGTGTGGACAGACATGATAAGAAAAATGAGTTCATCTGATAAAATGTGGGAAAATCAGCTGATCTGTTTTGGAGCCGTGGAACAGAAGTAATTAGTATGCAAGTAGGGGTTGTAGAATTCTGCTGAAAGTAGATACTAATACTATTTGTAGTTATAGATTCAGGCTATAAAAGGGATATGATGCTCTTGCTACTGTAATGGACGAGATGGGTCCCACATAGCTAAATGGACTAAAGCGTTCATGCGGGCTGTCTTGAAGGTTTGGGCTTCTCGTTATTGTTGTCCTTACATCCAATGATCCGTTTAATGAAACTTACTTCAGCCCTCAAGCTAGATCTAGCAACACGTATGGAGATACTAGGAATGCACATGGTTGATAATTCAAACATGTCTTAAGGTATTGTATTTCTTGATATTTTACGTGATTATAATAACTGTGTAAAACCCAATAGTAGTTTATGAAGACACAAATGCGGTAGCAAATAGCTTGTCCTGGTGGCCTACATAATTCAAACACTAAATAAGAGCATAAAATACTAACAACTGAACTTAAACAGCATTTGGAGCCTCTAAATCCTACATCTGTAAACCATGAGCAAGGACTATGACACTGATAATGCTCCATATGAAACTTGATTCGACATGTGTGCAAGGTTTGTATGCAGTTATCTTTTGACCAGTTATCTTTTGACCTAGAACATTATAGGAGATTGCTTGTGAGAAAAGATAATGCCATCACAAACGGTGTATGCATATGATCTACATGTCACAGTCAATATTGTGAAGCATTAAAGTTACCCCCTTTATCACGGAACGTTCTTTAGAGGAATACTAACCACAATCTCACGCCCAGTGCCAGTTCCAGGTTCTGCATAGAAATGACTAATATTGATGTCGTTTCTGATCATTGCAAGGGGGCTTATCCTATACAGACTGTAAGGTAATACCACAAAGTTTACCTAACTTCGGTTGTTCAGGAACCAGTTCCAATTTTACAGTTTTCCTCTGTAATGCACGCTCCAGAGCTTTTCGCTTCTTCTCTATAATTTCTTTCTCAAACACATGATCGACCAGCATATCAGACTCCCTTGGCTTTTCTTGTGCAATTGACCAAACTTCATCCTGCTTTGGCAAGTTTAAAGACAGGGTTTTAGCTGAAAGTGCTTTTGAAATATCGACTTTTCTTGGTGGAAATTTCGGACAGATTGACCTAATCCTACGAGCCATCCATTCAGGTATCTCTCTTCGAGGACCTTCTGCAAGCAATTTCCACTTTTGTGAATCCTTATCGGTCAAAAGATCAATCCTTCCACCATTAATCACATAGTTTTCTTCCCCTGATCTTTCCCCATGCAAGATTGACTCAGCATTTTCAGCTCTCTGTTTCCAAACTTCAGAAGCAGCCTCAGATGCCTGCAGTGATCTCTGCAAAGCAGCATATCTCCTCGTATATGCTTGGTCTTTCAAACGTGCAGTTTCGTTAGCTGCCTGCACAGCAGCAATGATAGCCTCAAGTTCGCTCTCAAAAGCTTTTACAGCCGCCTTTTCCCTCTCAGCCGCTTCTTTCTTCATTTTATTGAGCAAACTCTTGAACAACTCATCCTTTTGGAAATTTCTTTTCTTAGCCACCTCTTGAAGCTCCGCCAGGGCTTTTTCTACAGAAGCAGCACGAAGATCAGAAGCTTTTGCTCGTGCCAAAGCTTGGTCAAGTTCCGACTTCAATCTATCCACCTCACTTTTTGTAATCAACAATTGACATTCTAGATCACTAATGGAATTCTCCAATTCAACATTCTTAGCTCTAACATCTTGAACCTCATCCATCAAATTTCTGTCACCAGTAATAGCTGCCACTGATTTTCTCGCTTGGTTGCTGGCTTGTTCTGCAGCATACAATGCTTTGTTTACTGCATCTGTAGACTGATCAACAATCGCAGATAGTGTCCCCTCGGTGGTTTTCCTCATTTGCTCCTCCATGCTACGAGCTGTTTCTGCCGCAGAAATCTCAGCAGCAGATACTCTCAACTGTGCATCCTGTATTATGTGAGAGGTCGCTTGCTTGAAAGCAAGCTCTGCTAACTTCTCAACTTGGACTGCAAGCTCAACAGCATCTTGTTTCGCAAGTACCAATTTAGATTCTAATGCAAATTTCTCCTTGATTGATTCCTCTAGTTTCGTATTGAACAGAGATTTCGCAGCTTCAAGTTCTGCGAGTGCTAATATCTTGTCATGCTTTATTATAGAAGCATACTCATGATTCTTAACTTCTGATTTCGCTAACTCTTCCATTAGTCGAGATCTCTCTTCCTCGGTTGCCTTTAACGCAATTTTTGCTTGTTCGAGTTCGGATGACAAAGGATTTCCATCTTCGATGAGCTCAGGATCCCCAGAATCACCCTAGTTATAGAAATTCATTTTTATCATCATCCTAAATTGAGGCAAATTCATATATGAATTCATTGAGAATTGATACCGTGATTGCTTGAAATTTGACGGGGAGTGAGCCATAGCCATTGTTGATGAACAAGCATTTTCTGCAATAAAATAACAAATAATAAGTTTTAAAAAAGCCAATAATTGAACAAAAATGATCTTAAAAATGTATATACCTCTTGAGATTGAAACTATTGGCAGAAAACTTTAACTGCCAATTTCTGCGAGAAATCGAACAGCAAGGCGGAGCACATTGCAAAGGTGCATTGGCCCAAATCGCAATCGCCATTCTGAATCTTTAACCTAGTAAACTAAACATTGTCATAAAAAAAAAGAAAAAATATCAGAATATTCTCCTTAAAAAAATGGTCCTTTGCAATAGAAATTTCAAAAAGAGGCTTATAAATAATATTCTAATAGATCTAGATCTCAAAAGATTCAGCTTTGAGTAGGAACAAAAAGAAACCCTAACGTACCAAAATGAGTCATGAACTCAAAAAGAATTTTCAATCGAAATTGGGCCGGGCGTTAAAAATGCGGGAAGTTCTCTCCTTTAAATATTGTTTGCTCGCCGTTCTCTGGTCTTTGGAGATTGAAGAACGCCGGCGGTTGGAGGTGGCGACATGGGGCCCACTTGAGTGCTCAGTGGAGGACAAAGTTTGCAAATAGGCCCTTTGAGAAACTTAGGGGCTGTTTGGTTGGTTTCCTAAAAACCAAGAATAGGAAATGGGAGCATGGAAATCTCCCATTTCCTATTTTCAACCATTTCCATCCCTAAAACTTACCCTAACATTCAATAAAATATTATTTTATCATCCAACTCATCTAATAAAATATCATTTTATCATCCAACTCATCCAATAAAATATTACTTTTATCATCCAACATCTAATAAATTATTATTTTTATCATCACATCATCCAACTCATCTCATCTCATCTCATCTCATATTTAAAAATCAATCACATCATTCAATAATATGGTGACAACTCATCTCATCTCCTTTAACTTTCATCTCCACACATTTCCTCCAAAAAAACAAGGAAATTGATTTCCTTAAGTGTGGGTCACATCATCCAATAATATAATGACAACTCATCTCATATCATCTCATCTCCTATTTTTAAGAATGAACCAAACACAAGAGAAAAACTTATTATAAGAAATATGTTTCCTATTCTTTGATTTCCTTCTTTTTTAACCAATCAAACAACCTCAAAACAACTTTTTTTAAAAAATCACTCACATTATCCAATAATATTGTGACAACTCATCTCATCTCATCTCCTATTATTTAATTTCCTTCTTTTTTTAACCAACCAAACAACTATAAAACATTTTTTTAAGGAAATAGGTTTCCTATTCCTTGATTTCCTTCTTTTTTTTGTCAAGCAAACAGCCCCTTAATTTCAAAACACGACTCCTTTTAAAAATGTTTGTTATTTTCAACTTAGGTTCAGCCACCTAGCTAATATTAGATCGAAAATGACGAAAAAAGTATTAAAAACTTTATGAGATTTTACATCCCGTGAAGTTTAAGGCCTTATTAGCGCTAACTAGCACTAACCCAAGCGCTAATAAGGTCTTAAACTTCAGGGGATTTAAAATCTAAATGAGATTTTAAACTTTACGGGATTTAAAATTTCTATGAAGTTTTTAATGCTTTTTCGCCATTTCAACCCAGTTTCAGCCACCTGTCAAAAATAATAAATATTTTCAAAAAAGGTCATTTTTTTAAATTAAGTTTCTAAAATGGTCTATTTTAAATATCTGTACATTGAATTGCCCTTTGACTGGAAAATTGACATTAGGTTGTTTTCGAAATTATTGTAGGAACGAGAGGCTAATACTTGGAGTAAGGATTTAAAGTGAGAAAATGATCATTATCACGGTTGTTTTGTGGATTTCACGGGCAACAACCACTTAAGTTTGGAGCTTTTTGCGTTGCAGCGTGCGTGCTGCTGGGCCAGCACGGGCATCAATCCGCCCACTTTGGTTTATTTTTTTATGAAACTGATGATAATAATCTATAGGATTAATTACGAATAGGCCCTCTGTATTATCTCTCAATTGTGATAGACACCCCTAGCTCAATTTGTGCTGATAGAACCCTTGTATTATTTGCCAAATGCAGATAAACCCCTCAGTGAACTTTTTCTTCTCTTCTAAGAGTTGAGATGAGAAGTTAGCAATTGAGGGTCTACCCTCAACAATTAGAACTACATAAAATCTATCCGCAATTAGACGATAGCACAAGGCATAATTAACCTTAATTTGCATTTGCTACTAGTCTAAGTGCATCCTACGGATTGGTTCAACATGAAAGCAATTCTTCAAATGCTATGCTGAAACTGTAGGAAAAAGCACGGATAAAAATAGATCTCAAATTAAGGATAAACCAAAGCAGAACAAACAACATTGGAAAAATTACATAGAGCAGAAAGCAAATAAGAATAACATTATATTAAGCGTAAAGAAATACTTTATAGAGATGTCGAATTGTCCTCTAAACAGAGGATGAGACAATTGTGTATGCATTGAGTATGCACACTACTTCCGAGGATGAGACAATTGCAGTCTATGAAGCACATCGATTGCCACTTCACTTTGCTGAAGTCTTCAAAACCAGCAGCTAAAGAACAGCATTAGAGAATTGCAGAAGAAAATCAATTAGAGAGTTTAATTTTCGGTGTTGTTCAAATGGTAAGAGAAGGCTCTTTATGTAGAGGTTCTAGTGAGTTGAGGGGTTAGACAGGTCTTTGAATGATAACGATTGCCAATTAATGTAACGTTTGTAACATCTGCATAACTACCATTCAAACCTTTTAACGTTTACATTAACTGCCATTTGAACATTGTAATGTTTGTAACGTATGAAACGCTCAGGCCAATAAAATTCTACACATGCAAAAAGAGCATGCGCTGGACCACAACTAGGACACATGCCACACCTAGGACACATGCAGACCCGCTCACTTGCTTAGACACTCGCTAGCATACCAACACAAGTGTGCATTTTAACATCTTTGTTATACTATATATAACATTTATGTTAATTTAAACCACTTAAAATGCATTCAATTAGTCAATGCAAGACCAATACTCACGTACTACTAATTAACACGTTTGTCATCTATGAAATCCAACTATTTTCCAAAGAATACTTTTTCACATAAATCCTTCAATATTCCATTTATATCGATAGAAACAATCTACAATAACCAAGGATGACCTCTGAAAAAGTAAACCGAGTAAAAAAAGGTTGAAACACAATTAGAGATATGTAGGGGGGGTTATTCATTGGTGTAATTTGGGGGATAATGGGATAATTGTTGGAACATCACTTTTTGGTGTTATTCATTGGGTTAATTGGAATTGGAGTCAACTTTGTGGTGTTATTGGTTTGTTAGGGTAATTGGGGGACAAATACTCCACTTTTTCCTAAATTACACCAACTATATAAAGATCCCCTCCACCCCTTCCTCATAATTACCCCAAATTTACCTCATCCTCAATATTGGAACAATGTTGTTCCACTTTGAAAACAATTGGGATAATTTTAAAATATTTTTGTATTACTTAAATAATAAATGCTAATTATATTATAAATATATGATATGATATATAAAATATAACATATATTAATATTTTAATAATATAATTTAATAACATATATTAATAATATTATATAATAGTAATTATAGTATAATGTATTTATTATAATATTATATAATATTTTAATAATATATATTAATAATATTATGTAATATATTATTATATAATATTAATTAGTAATTATAGTATAACGTATTTATTATAATATCACATAATATTTTAATAACATATATTAATAGTATTATGTAATATATTATTATATAATATTAATTAGTAATTATAGTATAACGTATTTATTATAATATTATATAATATTTTAATAACATATATTAAAATTTTAATAACATATATTAATAATATTATATAATAACATATATTAATATTTTAATAACATATATATAATATTTTAATAACATATACTAATAGTATTATGTAATATGTTATTATATAATATTAATTAATAATTATAGTATAACGTATTTATTATAATATTTTAATAACATATATTATTATATAATATATTATTATATAATTAATTTATAAAATATTATTATAGTTATTATATATATGACATACTATTATAATATAATATAATAATTACTAATATTAGTAAAATATTATGATATAATATAATATAATACTATAGTTTGAAATAATATAATATATTATACTATAACATGATACCTATTAATATATATTATTATAATTATCATGTTATATATATATATTATTTTAATTTTAATATAATATTTTAAAAAATATTACATTGAATAAAGTAAAATATTATAATATTTTATATTATAATAATATAATTGGATAAGTTAATTATAAATAATTAATAGATAAGAGTAATATTTTAATAAGGTGTCACATCATCAATTATCACGAACATAATTGTCAATATCCAAATGCTGAATATTATCTCATTATCCCACTTTAAACCCCACTCAAAATAGCCAAAGGGTAAAATTGTTTCATTGAAAACAATTTTTCACCGCTTTGGGCCCCAATTTATCCCCCCCCCCCGCCCCTAAGTCTAAAAGGCAAAGCTCCTAAGCTGGTAAAGACAATAATGCAGCACAATGCGACAAGCCAATTCAAAATAACAATGATAACTGAAAGAAAATCAGAATTGTCACGCCTGCAAAAAGATAACAACACGTGCTTAAGACTAGTTAAAGTCATTCTTATTAAGAAAGTAAGCATAGTTCTTGCGCTCATAAATCTAAGCACGGCATGAAGTCTAACGAAAATAGCCGCTCTTACAGAGATAAAGTACGACAAACAAAATCATATGAATCCCCTTATTATTAATCTTCTTCAAACAAAGATAAAGCCTAGGCTGCATTTGATACGATAACCGGCCGACGAGTCCAAGCGATTTGCTCCGCTTTTTTCCGCCTTTTTTGTGTGTGTGTGTTTTTTTTTTTTTTTTTTTTTGGTGTGTGTGGTGTGTTGTGTGTGGGGTGGGGGTGGGGGGGGGGGGGGGGGGGGCTATCTATTCAAGTTAAGAAAAAAAATGTTGCCTGAAAGATCAAATCAATCGGCTTGTATTGGTCCACACCCCCAAATTTTTTTACTCAACTTATTATTAGTGCTGGCCCATAATATATTACACCACCACTAAAATTTATTTCCAATATGCTGATTACTGTTATATTGTATAGTAATATAGTAATAATAAATAATTAATAAATAATATAATATAATTAATTGAATATAAGAGCCTATTTAAAAAATAAATTTATATGTTGATAATGTAATAAAACTATACCAATAAAAAGAGATAAAATTTATAAATAATTTATTTACGTAATATGCATATAATATTGCAATCACGTCGGGTATATAATTTAATATAATATACTAAATATTATATTATATTATATTATGTTATTAATATAATAATTTATTAATTTTTTAGTAATAAAATTTCATTATATTAATAATTATAATATTTAATATAATAATAATAAGTTTAATATGTTCTAACAAAATAATAAATAATAATATCATTAATATTTTAGTAAAATAAATTACCAATGATAATATATTGATAGAAAATTTAATGTATATAAAGTTTCATAATAAAATAATATATATAAATAAATTATTACATTATTATTAAAATATAAAAGATATTAATCAATCTAATATGTTATATAATGTTAAAATGTTAATAAATATATTAATAATATAGTAGTAACAATGTTTTATCAATAATTTAATATATTACTATTCTATTATATAAATATTAATATAAGATTACATAATCTATAAAATTATTTTATTAATATATGTAAAAATAATTAAATATATTGATATTTGAAAATAATATATTACCATTATCTAAAATAAATATATAAATTTATAATACATTGTAAACCAATTTATTGGATTATAATTAATATTAATATAATCTTTTCTCCAATTCTTGAAAACTATTTTATGCTTTTAGATAGGTTAGTGGTGGAGCTAGGAATTCTAGAAAGGGGGAAACAAAAAATTAGTAATTAAATACAATAACTTATTAAAGTAAGGTGCAAGGAACGCTCACAAGAAAACCAAATGGTAGTCTATTCGTGCTTCCAATCTGCTCGTAGAAAATCCAAGTGAATGAGTTTTAGAAAGTTTAGGGATGTTACATTTTCATATCTCTATGATTTGTAAAATTATTATTAAGCCCCGCGACACAGGACACCTTCAAAGCTAAAGCTTTTTATCATTATATTATATATATATATATATATATATATATATAATAATATATATATATATATATATATATATTATATATTATATATATATATATATATATATATATATATATATATATGAGAAAATGGGTATGTGTTGGTACCAAGCACAAATATATATATATATGGAAAACAAAAATTTCCTACGCTGTCAGCTCACCTGCATACACTTGCAGGGCGCAAAATTTCCTACGCTGTCAGCTCACCTCCCGTTTCTATATATATATATATATATATATATATATATATATATATATATATATATATTCTCTATAAACAGAAAAGCATACAGCATGCTAGACACCTGTCTCCATAAAACCACCAGCAACAAAACGACAAACATATAATAATAAAAACTACAGCAAGCTTCTCCGCGTTTCATACGGCATTACACTGCATCAGAAGCATTTAACACACTAGAAACCTGTCTCCATACAACCAACAATGAAAACACACATATAAAGGACTGCATCTAGCTTCTCAATGTTTTATACTGCATCAAGTTCCAGTCTATGCTAAAAAAACACAACACCTGTCTCCATAAAACTAACATACGCACAACAAAACTGTTTCCTTACTTCTGGTACGTTTACGAGTCATTATACCCAACTGCTAAGAACTTTGCGAAACAAATATTTTTAACAAGCTATACCCTGACCTCATGGACGACTGCAACATAACTTAGTTTGGCTGCATCTTAACTGGAGCTCGAAATCTTCAAGGTTGGATGACAAGTAAGGGCTGCAAATAGTAGCAAAACAATAACTTCATAAAGTAATGTTTGATAAAAACTTGTACAGAAGATTATAGGTAGAGAGAGATTTACCATGTCAACACTAACTGGCTCTCCATCCTCCGCGAGTATCTCAACAACCGTCCCAGATTGATCGGCCTATCATTCAATGTTAGTTCTTTGTGGTCACAACAATGGAGTTACAAGGAAAACACATAATAATGACCTTGGCTAAAATAGGGGGTATTTTGCGCCAGAGAATGGAGAAGTGTGAAAGTAACTTTTTTTTTTTGACAATCAGGTGTAAATCCACATCAGTGAATAGTAGTAATATAGTGTATTTGTTTGCATGAAAGTTGAAGTATGAAACGAAAAAGAAAAGTGGTATGATGCTATCATTCTATTCTAGTATTGAATGTACCCTTGCACTTTCCAGGACTAAAAAGTAGTTATGACATAAAATCTCTCTATTAAGTTGTTTCGCTCTCTTAACTTTTTCACGTTCAATACCCCCTCAGTCTATCTTGTTAGGAAGTTAAAAAACTGCAAGATCTAGTGTGTCGAAAGACACTCCCACACCTTCAAGAGCTAGTTTGATCTTAAAAACACCTAAAATACATGAAATTAGCTGCTAGCCTATTACTGAATGCAGAGGATGAAGAATATGAGGTGATGATTAATGGTGATTACCTCGATCTCGTTCATCAATTTCATGGCCTCAATGATGCAAACAACCTGGCCCTTCTGTACCTTATCCCCAACCTGAATAAACAATTGGTGTCAATACAGAATGAGATAAAATTTACGCAGAACATGCATTCAACTAATATATTTGGATAACAGCATGTACTCACTTCGTGTGTGCAAGCAAAAAAGATAGCATATCAGGTTTTTAAGAATTTCCAAAGCCATGTAGCATGGTAAAAACAGATTGTTATGGGCAGAACATCACCTTCACAAATGGCGGTTCCCCAGGTGCTGGGCAGCGATAAAATGTTCCGGCCATGGGGCACGTGAGAGGAGGAAGAGATGACTTGCTCCCCTTTGGAGGTGAAGAAGGTGCTGCTGCTGGACCTCGTGAAGGAGTAGCTGCAGGTGTTGGTTGGGCAACAGAAGGTTGAGATGGAAGCATAGATTGTTGAGGATGTTGCATCATTACAACAGGTGCTGTTGGTGGTGCTTGTACAAAGGCCTCCTTTTTCCTAATTATAAGCTCAATGTCCTTCTGCTTTAGTTTAAGCTCCATGATATCTTTTGAATCAACAAGCCTGAAAACAAATAAACAAAATTCTGATTCTGCCAAAAATAAAAATATAAAAAAATAAAAACAAATAATTCTATTCTTCCAAACAAACTTTTCTGTAGCTCATATTTCTGAAAGTGTATTGAGAAAGCACTTTGATAAGTTTAAACTTTCTTAGACAATATACTGCTAAGGAAACATATGACTCAAGTGCCAATCACACCAACAGTGTCGCTTATCTTTGCGCAGAAGGTCCAGGATTGAATCCCACTTCTGCCAGGATGCAGCCTAAAACCATATAGATTTCATTCCTATTGTGGTCCCAGTCTTAAACTACAACCTTTATTGTTCCTGTTCTCGTATGATGACTACTGAGCTTAATAGAAGAAAGAAAAGAAAGCGCGGGTTTAAATTTTAAGGGTGTGACTTCTTACTTTACAAGATCTGAAGCCTCTGCCATGAATGCAGAGATGGAAGACTCTGATAGTACAGACTGATGAGCATTGCTCTCCACATCCTTCGAATCTTCAGAAGGTGTGGCTGACAAAGGAGCAGACTCCGATGAACCCTCAGCAGAAGCCTTCAAGTGAAAAATGGGTTTGAGTAGAAGCACACTTGCGCATGATAAAAAGAATTTCAGAGCACTCAAAATCTGGTCAGTAGCTACCTCATGGGCCTGGGCCTTCAAAATGGGGGCATGAGTTTGTTTAGAACCCTACAAATGACATTTAAGTAACTGGATTATATACAAATGGGGAAAAAATTGTAGTTCAGGCTCAGCAAATAATCACCACTACCCTAGTTTAGAAAAGACAAAATAATTCATTTTCATAACATATTTTCTAGCATATATGATAGTGGAAACAAGAATTTATTCTTTTTGAATTATAAGAGAACCATTGTCAGTGCGATGTAAAAGGTAGCACAATGAACTACTTGTCAAGTTATCAAAGGTCCAAGTTCGTGGAGGTCCACCTGAATTAATCCAACTTTTGCTAATTGAGAACGTCGATACAAAATGTAAAGCACCCATGTTAATAAGAAAAAAGAAGCGACATGTTCTAATTAAGTGCAATAACACATACCAGATTTTGCAAACATAACAGACAATAATTTTATTATTTGCAGACTCCATGTCATGGACGCAGCGAGGTTTAAGAGTCAACCCACCTGCTTTCAATGGTAAAAGGACACCTGAATCCCACTAAACATCAAGAGAGGGATGGAAAATCCTTACTATACCAAATAGGTTCCAATAAGACTGGATGCTTTAAGTTCAAATCATGCATGTATCCTATCATCTGTTGTATCAACTATAGGGCCTCTACTTAGTGACCGACTCCTCAAACAATCTCAATGAACCTTATAAGTATCCTTTAGAATAATAAATAATCTATAGCCTGCAGGAACAGGTATGCAATACAGTTGGGACAAATATTAGGGAATATCATTTATCGGAATTGCAACAGCTTTGTCTAAGATGGTGTCCACCAGGAAGCAAAAAATACACAAAGTGGGTCAGATATATTTAGGAGGCTGATAAAACATCATGAGCCAACAACCCCTTCTAATTCTGAAGGACGGTCACTTCCTTCTTGTGCATGCATCAAGTAGGAATCAGGTGCTGTAAGTTAAAACAGCTACAGAATCATCTCGAACTTTCTCCAACATGCATGAATTCACTAGTAAGTTTCACAAACCTTACTAAAAGAACACATATAATGCCCCGACTTGCATTTCATCTTCCATTCCATTCCTTTCTGCTCTCCATTTATCAACTTTTACTGAAAAGCATAATATCCCACTCTCTTTGCTATTCATTCTTTTTCTGGTCTTCTTTATTCTCCTCTTTTCTTCCTCTTCTATCAATATGGCTTAGTTGAGCCGAATTGGTAACTTTCTAAGTGTTTCTCTTTGTCGGATTTAGTGACAAAATGGAGTTGGTAATAAAATGGAAAAAGAGATGGACTGATAAGGATGAACGTGATTAGCTTTTCTTAGGGTTGGTAAGTTGCCATGTCATTTGGTCCTTAAATACAGTTAGTTGACAGATGTAAATGGTAATGCTATAGAAGAATATATAATTACGAGGATCCAACATTTATTAGCAAGTTGCACCAACTTCCATTTTTATTGGCATCCGCAAATCTAAGTAATTGTCCACGACTTATAGCCATATGTGCCCATTGGGTTAAAAATGGTAAATATTTAATTTTACTACAATAGGATTTGAGAAGAATATTGTTACTAGATTAGCATTGTTTGAAAGAAGCAGTTTTAGCATTCATCTAGGCAATCACTTAACCCTAAGCGATCTCAGGCCGCCTCCATAAGTCTTAGGGCCGCCTAAACAATTATTGAATGGTTAAGTGTGTTGCACCGATCCAAAAAGAAGTATGTTGCCCGCTTAAGCATAATAACGTATGAAGAGAACATGTGTCAGACCAGACCTCAATATCAAAACATATCTCAGATAAAACTGCGAGGATGGGATCTTAAATCTTCAAAAAAATCCTTCTTCAGACAGTGTCCTCCTTACCCTCTCTCATCCACAGGAGTTGTAAATCTTTTGCACCTCTAACTACGACAAAAACAATCATCTGAAACAAATGAAGTATTAAAAACACATGTCGGTTAAGTGCTGCCTAGGCGCCTAGGTGCTCGGTGGAAGGTCCGACACCCAAAAGGATCCTCCGCTTTCTAATACATTGCAAATTAGTACTTATTCAATTTTACTTGGTGGTCCCGGTTTTTTTGTTTTAGGGGGAAACACCAAATCATCTTATACTGACTTTCTTTAAAATTAATTAACGGTCCATAAATGAACACGACTCATTTGTCAACATAGTTATGACTAGTTTGATTCCATTTTAATATATTAAGCCCAAATTGTTTGGCCAAGCTTGTTGCATTTAGGTTCAAAACCCTCATCAAAAAAATTATAGCCTCCATGTTTTTGCTATTTCATTCAAGTCTTAATTTTTGCTATTTTTTTCAACTCTTAATTTCCTTAAATTTTCAACTCATGCTACTAAGCTACTCCCAATTTTAACTTTGAACTTTCTACTTATTATCCTCCTTATAATATCGTTAAAGGGAACAACACAAACTAGTGAAAATCCAGCTGACCTTTAAATTTCTTTCACAACTCAAGCGTTTATTAAATTTTATAATTAATTCTTTTGATAGAATTTGATGGGGAGTCTATTAGGTCTCATATTTATGAGCCTATTGTCTAATCTGGTTTTGATGATTAACAAACAATTCCTAATATCGTTTGTCGAGTGTTTACATTTGATTGTTAGGTATCCTACACAAAGATCATTGGTCGGAGGTTGGTTGGACTTGCGCCTTAATGATGACATTCAAAGGATGTTGGAAGGATATAGAAATGAAGCCGTCGCAATTCAAGTCGAGATTCATTATCGCTTCATCTGCAACCAAGACGAGCTAATTAAAAATCTACTACTTGGGTATAGTAGTTTAGGTCTTTACTGTATGTGTTTATACTTAAAGCTCATATCATATACATACACGTTATTTTGTTTTGTTACATTATACGCTTCTTTGAGAAAATAACTCACTCTTGGTTTATTGACTTTATGATACAATTTTACATCTTTTATAAAGTCTATAAATCCATTAAAAAGAGTCTCAAAGTTTGTTTGAAAGAATTTCATCAAAAATCAAGTGTTTAGAGATTTTGTATTTTGTTAGTTTTGCAAAACAGTAAGTTTTCACAAACGGGAAATGAAATTTTAAAAATTTCTTCTTTAACATGTTTATTTTCATGTATATAAACATTTCCTCAAGTTTTACTATTTTTGGAGTTAATTTGTTATTTTTAATTGATTTTATAAAATCAGATTTTCAGGTTTCATGTTTCTGTGAATAGTATTCTGTGAACAGTCCATCGGTCGACCAATACTGTTCATCAGTCGATTGACATTGTTTATTTTTGTCTACGCATGTTTTCAATCGATCATGAACAGTGTTTTTAGTTGACCGTGAACAGTGTTTTCAGCCGACCAACGCTGTTCATCAGTTGACCGAACAGAGGTATTTTTTCAGCCTTCTGTTTTACTGTTGTATCAGTCGACCGATGAAATTCATCAGTCGATCGATAACAGTCATATTGCATAGTAACGACTAGTTTTTGGGCTATTTTATTAGAGAGGCTATATATATGCCTCATAACTCATTTGTTTTAATAAGAAAAGTTTACAAAATAGTTTTGCCAGTTTATCTAATGAGTTTTTGAGTGTGTTTTGTTTATGTGAAGAAAGTTTCACAAAAAGAAGGATTTTAATTTCGGTTTTGAGACGTTCAACCTCAAATCTTCATAACTACACCTCTTTGTTCAATTGGAGAAGTTTTCTTAAACTCTTTTCTTCTAACAAATTTATATTTTGATTCTTATTCATAAGCTAGAATTATTAGAGTTTAATTTTATTTTTATTTATTATTTCACACACAACCATTTGAGCTTAAGCATTTTCACATATAGTTTATTTGGGTTGTGGGTGTGATTCATCGAGTGAGCTAACATTTCGTTCTCATCCTTGTCAGAGAACAAATCCTTTGTTTGCACTTAATTGTTGAGAACACGTTGTAATACACAATGACACTTAGAGGAGTGGTTGGGAGAATTACGAGGTCAATTCCAAAAGGAAGTTAGAAATGAACACGTTGTAATATATAATGACACTTAGAGGAGTGGTTGGGAGAATTACGGGATCAATTCTAAGAGGAGTGGTTTGGTTGTAAAAGCCTAGGGAGATGTAGTAATTCCAAACACTTGAGGAAGGTGACACGGGTTGACCAACACTTAGAAAAATATATTGTGTGATCGTCAACGTATGGATTGTAAAAGTTTTCGGTGAGTTTTTGGAAACTGAATTGTGTAGTTATTTGAGATAGTAGAGAATATCCTCGAGGTGAGGAGCGGAGACGTAGGTCGAGGATTAACCGAACTCCGTGATCATTTCCTTTTGTTTGCGTTTGGCTTTAGCGTATTTTTATTGTCTCATTGTTTATATCACCTATTGCTCATTGTATATCCTTGCATATATTATTGTATATCACATTGCTAAGATATATTGCATAGCATCGATATCAGATTAGATTAGCAATTACCCTATTCACCCCCCTCTAGGGTACTTTCAGAGTTTGTACGCAACATTAAGAGTTATCGTCTTTGACCTCGAGGTTATGGTTTCGATTCGAAACAGCCTCTTGTAAAAATGCAAGGTAAGGTTGTGTATAATAGACCCAAAGATGATTCGCTCCCAATCCCTCCCTGGATCCCGCGCATAGCAGCATAGCGTGCACAACATTTCCCTTTAGCTTTTGATGGAACTAAGAGGTTGACAAAGTTAGTAAGTTCAATTGACAAAAATCTAAAATCCAAATTTATAATGAAAATAATGATTTTTAGGATGTATCATTAAAACTTTATTAACTAAACAAGAACAATTTACCAACCCATGGTTCCATCTAAAAGAGCGTGGAAGTTCAAATAAGAGATACTTAGTTTGCTTAAAAAGGCCAATATTCTAGCAATGATAGATATTGAATGTTGGTGAAAGTGTTATCAATTTACTGGACCTAGGACTTTGTCAAGGTACTATTGCATTAAAAAATAAAAGAGTTTTTGAGTTTTATTAAGAAAATAATGTCAAACAATGTTGAAAAAATGAATAAAGTCATTTTTTCCTAATTAATCTTAAAATGCATTAAAACAAGTGGATTTTATTTGTAAGAAGCTGGGAATGTACAATACATACATACATACATACATACATACATACATACATATACACCAGCTTAGAGGGAGTGTCAAGAGAAGAGTTACGTTTAGTTAAGTTGTTTAGTTTAGACCCACATTGGTTGTGTGATTAGGATTGTATCTACTATTACAAATAAGAATAGAGAGGACAGAATAGTTATCCCTTTGATTCGTTCAATTAATGAGCACAAAGAATAAATCATGTCCTATCAGGCAGATAGTAGCCACAAAAATGCTTTATGGCCATCCAAGATAGTGGACAAAATGTTCAGAAGTGCAACCAAGATCGAAAGCATGCCCTCTTCCACGGATGATGACATTAATATACCCCTTTCGAAAGACTACATTTAAAGTGTAGCAAGCCGCGAGCTCTGAAGGATGGTCGACGCAAGCTTACCTGGCCTAATGAATATGATCATGTCGCCCACGAGAGAGGAGGGCAGGAGATATTCACATGGGTGTCTACCTCTTTAGGGAAGATGGATGATGACAATGACACCTCTTAGCTTGCCATTCTGTTTGGCAGTCCTGGATCTCCTCGCTCTTCTACCCTTACAACAAATGATTACAAACTCATAAAAAAAATTCAGGTGCAAGACCATCAAATTGCCCAACAGACCATCAAATTGCCCAACGTATAGATGTCGAAAATGTGGGACACTATAGTGAACCATGGCCCGGGTTCAATCATCAAGGAACGTGGTACAGTAGCGAATTGAATCGCGTACCCGACGACCCGATTAAGAATTCAAATTAGTTAATATTTTGGGAAAAAACCATTTCAGAAAAAAAGTAAACAGCAAAAAGCTTACCTTAGTTGGAACTTGAAAACTCTTTTACCATTATTGATTCTTGAATTTGACTCTTGCATAAATGTACATTAACACACTCAGAATCCTACAATTAAACACCAAATCTATAGCATATCAGGTACGCTGACCCCTAGTACCCGATTCTAAATAAGTGGCTACCACGCTCCTGTTACCACTCCGTAAGCCGAAATGAACCGGGCTCCATGCAACTATGTGCTAAAGTGAGTCGTCGTTTATCCTTCCATTTATCACTCCATATAAATCAACCATATGGTCGAGCTTCAAGCTATCAATCCTCTCACTATGGCACAATGCTACCTGCCTCCAACTAGTCTCCACTTTAACTAGATTTGTATATAGTTCTTGCTATAATTTTTGGAGTTAGTAAGAAGAGGATAATAAATAGCAAACTGGAAGTTAAGACTAGGAACCAATAAAGTTGAATAATATAAGGAAATTTTCAGTTGATGAAAAGAAAAAAAACTAAATATAAGACTTTAATGGAATGGTGAAAAAATATTCAAAGCTCTAGAATTTCCATATGACCAAGTGCAGTTCGGTAATAAATTGGTTTACAATTTCATTGATGATTGTTCTCTCAATGAACATTGAGAATTGTGGCTCCCTCAGATGCTTGAATTCAGTAGCATTGAACTTTTATAGCTTGCAATTGAAGTTTTGCCTTCTTTTCTTATACTTCATTTTTCCCTTAATTGAATTATCACATGGTATGCTACAGAAAAGGAATAAATTCTGGAGTGGCAGAAAGTTGGTACGTATCCCCATGAACCATGTCTTTTCTGGTATATGATTTGTTTATTTCAGCAAAAGATTCGGGCTTACATTCTTGTTGATTAAGTAGCAACAATATTACGAAAACTTATTTGATGTAATTAAACTAATCTTTGATTTATTCCTCAAAATTCTTATGAAGTATAAACACAGGTATTGAACAACATGATAATGGTTTGAATGAAAAACACGACAAACGCTTGGTCATGTGTGTAATGTGTATTTTTGCATGTTCTTATCCTATATCTTCATTTACATGTGCATGCATGCATGCACTGACACGAGAGTAATGTGAGATTAAAGAACTGAAAGTTAGAGGCCTGTTATGTAACAGAGTTGAAAATCTTTTCCCTTAAACTATCTCGAGAATGGAATGTCATCCATAAAGTTATTCTTGTTTATCTTGAACTTATTCTTACTCTGAGCCATATTCCAGTTTGTGAAGAAGAAAAGGGAAGAGTTAGAAACTTTTTGTTACTTCCACAAGTGAAGAGGAAACATATTGAAGAATTGTCGGTGTTCTGTAACACTTCTCCAAAATTTTGCAATTGTATCTTTACATCAATTGAAAATTTGATCAAATTCAATTATTTGTGGTTTTATATCTCCCATAACCACACCACATTAGAATCAACCATCTCACTCAATCTCTTCCATGCATTTCTGCTTTCAAAATATTTGAGATTTTTTCCCCTTCCTTCACTATTTTCAGACGCTTCTCTTTCAACTTTTGATGTGATTCACAAGCAATGTGAGTGGTTCATGTATAGAACTATTCTAAATTTTTTTCTGAATTCATGCTTAACTATTCTTGGCTTGTCTTCAACTTCAGTACTTAATTCGTCAATTATAGGCGTTAACGAAATTGAATTTTTGTCTCAACACTCAATTGCAAGCAAATCCAAAGCCTGCGTGTTACGTTGGATATTATCAGAAATTGACAACAAAATGATCGAAGCAACAACATTCAGGATAGTGGAAATAACTACAACATCCCAAACACTGAACACTCCAAATTCGCGCATTTAAAAAAAAATAAAAATTAAATAGAAAGTTCAGATTTTGGGTAGAGTTTAACCTGCAATCTCGAAATCCTAGCGGATCCGGCGGGAAACGAGGGCTTCAAGCTCGAGATCGAGGCCACCTGCTGCTGGTTTAAGCTCCGGTTCCTCGAGCTTCGGGAGCTGAAGGCGGAGAACTTAGGGCACGGAGCAGAGATCACCATTGCTCGAGATGGAAGCAAAGAAACCCTAACTTTCTCAATCTCAGATCGGGGAGAATTTGAATCCAAATGAAGGCTGGCGATGTTTGTAGGCGAAGAAGGCGGAGAGAACGATGAGAAGGGGGCGGAGGGATTTCATCGAATGCAATCTCAGCCGTTAAATTGATGGAAGGAAGAAATGGAGGGCTGGGCTAGTCGGTGCTCGCGTCGTTTTTTGAGCTCGACGGTTTCACGCACCAACGGTATGAATTTACACCTGGAGAGCCAATGCGCTGGGACCACCGGCTTTGCTACCGGGCCGCTCGCAGAGGGGGTTGCTGATTCAGGATTTAACTTGAGTTCATTATACAGGCCGCCAACCCAGTTAATTAGATCAAAGAATTAAGTAGGGTCGCACGATCCTATCCGTATCCATGAAAATATCCATAACCGGGTTCGACAGATAACGAGATGGTTACTAAAATTTATAACCAATATGTTATGGTCGCATAGTAAAATATCATATTCGAAATATCCGAATGTAGGTAGATTAATGGATTTGAGACTAATTTTTAATAATCAACGGATCTAATTTTAGCTTTTTAGATATAATGAACACATTAATGAACTCATATGTACCATGAGAACTATATTTCCCCCCTATATTATATGGTTTTCTCATATCCGTTTTGTAGCCACTTGTATATCCGTGTGTGTGTGGTTTTCTCATATCCGTTTTGTAGCCACTTGTATGTCCGTGTGTGTGTGGTTTTCTCATATCCGTTTTATAGCCACTTGTATATCCGTGTTATCCGTTTTGTAGCCACTTGTATATCCGTGTGTGTGTGTGTCAGTATCCGTACTTGATTTTATCAGATTAGGATATGAGTTTTCTTTACCACAGTATATCTGTGTTTATATTCATGATTGGTAAACGGTTATGAATACGGTAAGCATCATATCCAAGCCGTATCCAAACGGTATACACCCCGGGAATTAAGGCTCGCTCCCTCCCTACTTTTGTTCGCTTGCCCTTTACCTATCAAATTTATCTCTTATTAACCCATCTATTTTTTGTTATAGATTTCGTACATACTTATCCCCCAAACTATTTTTTTGTTTCTCCCTGAACTATTTTTTTTTTTTTTGTTTCGCTTTACCCTCTTAACTGACACTTCCCTCTTAAAATCATTGAAAACATTCACAGATTAATACATGAAATTTAATAATTAGGTACCTAAGTTGATAGGCTTGGTGATGAGGAGCGGCAAATTAAATAGTTTAGAGGGCATGGTGGGAAGAAAAATATTGTAGGAGGTAAGCAAGAGATCAATTCAATGGTATAGGTAAAATTAGTTCAGAGTAAGAAAGGACAAATTTAATAGTTTAAGGGGTGCTAGCATGTTGGAAAATTTTTAATAGAATCGGGATAATTGTTAAAATGAGTTAATTTTTTAAAAGTGGTATAGTTTAGTGGGATAACACAGAATAAGTTTTTACAACAAAATATTTTGAAAATATTATTATAGTACAATTCCATAGAAATTTAAAAAATTTCCCATTTTCTACATTCTTTTTGCTACCCTATATCTCTATTATCTCATCCTTCTATTTTTATTAATTTATAATAAATTATGGGCATGTGATTCTTTTGCTTTAAATTAGTTACAATTCTTCAAACTATGCCTTCTCCATATATAATGAGAAATTGGTAGTACTTCTAAATTGATAAAAAAAACTTACATGTGTCATTTATTTCATACTTAGTTTTTTAGAATTTTGACCTCATGTTGCTTTTGTTCTGCATTGAACCTAACTTAGTGTTACTTTATAGTTATACTTCTATGAATTATGATGGAAACTTCAGTTAGGTTATTCTTTGGGTTTTCCTTCTTTGTGTATATATATAATTTTGCCATTCACCTAGATAGATTGTTTGCTTGCCCTCTCTGCGTGTATGCCCGAGTTCCTTTGCTCCTAATTTTATGGCCTCAAGGTAGCATATATTATCACGAATTTGGATCTTTTGTGTTTAATTCTTTTGAGAAACAAAAACAAAGATCATTCTTTTGATTACCAGTAAGTTACCTTCGAGTGATCTCATTTAATTTTCAAGTTTTTTTGGTACATAATTTAAAGAAAATTATCAAATCAATTTGTCATTAATGTTCAAGCAGGATAACTACAATCTTCATTAGCATATACTCTGAAACAAAACCAAATGACCTCAAGCACTCTAGAAGATGTTACATATGATTTCTCTTTCACAAATGAAAAGGTCATGTGGCATCCTTATCTTACCATTTACTGAAATCTAAAAACACCAAAAAAATAAAACATGACATTTTTTATTTAGAGAGTTTTAAGTTAAGGATAATTTAATAAGGAGAAAAATTATGATGGATTTTTAAATTTGAACTCTCCCTAAGTAAGCCTAAATGATAGCTGTATATAATAAAATCGAATCATTAAAGATGTTACTTAAAAATATTAGAAAATTAGTGTTGAGGATTTTATGGAGATTAACATGCGGAATTAAACACTAAACGAATAACGACACCAATGAAAATAGCACAAGCAAGCAAACACCAAGATTTAACGTGGTTCAGCAAATCGTGTCTACATCCACGGGGCAATCCAGAGAGAAATATTTCACTATGAATTAAGAGTATAACTCCTCCAAGTTACACCTGAACATGAGGATTAAATCACAAGAAAAAGAAACAGTGTTACCTCTAGGGCACCAAAACCCTAAAACCCGTCTCACCAAAAATCTTCAACTCTCACGGAGAAATCAGCATCGTACCCTCGATGGTGTCGTCGTTCTGAAGACAACGACTTTTGAATCATTGCAATCAGAAAACCAATCTATCCGGAATCTGAACTTTTCTCTCTCTTTCCCCTCTTTTCTCTCTCTCTCTCGGGTACTATTCATGATTATTGTAGCACCAAAATTAATTTCAGGGTTCTCATAAATAAAATTCTTCAAACCTATTCCTATTATAAATAGATCCTCTAAATCCTCTTTTAGATAGAATTTTAATTCATGTGAACCTCATGTGGGCCTTATCTTGGGCTGAACACACAACGATCTCCCCTTCCAACCCAACGAGGGGTATGCCAATCTCTAACTTCTCAACGGAGTTCATGCCGGCTAATCGCTGACACAACTCGATCTTCTCTCTGGAAACGATCTTCGTTAAAAAAATCTGCTGGATTCTAATCTGTGTGAATTTTCTGTAGCTTCAGCACCTCTTTCTCAATGGCTTCTCTAAGCCAATAATATCTCACGTCAATGTGCTTCGTCCTGGAGTGGAATGTAGAATTCTTGCTCAAATGAAGAGCACTTTGACTATCAATGAAGATTTGATAATTGCCCTGCTGCAAGTCTAACTCCTGCAGAAATCTTCTCAACTAAATCATCTCCTTACCGGCTTTTGCGGCTGCAATATATTTCGCCTCTGTTGTAGATAAGGTAACACATTTCGTAACCTGGACTGTCAAGATAATGCTCCCCCTGCAAAAGTGAACAACCAACCTAAGATAGACTTCATGTGATCGAGATCACCTGCCATATCCACATCTGTAAAACCATATAATATTTCCTTCGAATATCCAAAACTCAAACACAATCTGGAATCGTCTTTCAAATATTTTAAGATCCACTTAATACCTTCCTAATGAACTTTCCCTGGATTAGAAAGAAACATGCTCACAACGCCAACTGAATGAGCTATATATAGCCGAATGTAAACCATGACATACATCAAGCTCCCTACAGCTGAAGAGTAAGGAATATTCTCCATCTCACTTTTTTCCCATTTGTAGCCGGGCAAAACTTTTTGCTAAGCTTCAAATGACCTGCAAGAGGAGAACTGACTGACTTGACATCTTTTATGTTGAATCTATCAAGTAACCGTTCAACATATTTCTCCTGTGATAACCATAACTTCCTGGCTTTCCTGTCACAAGCAATATCCATACCAATAATCCGTTGTACCGAGCCAAAATCCTTCATGTCAAAATATGTAAGTAACTCCTTCTTCAGCCTACTGATTATCTGATTATCCTGACCAACAATCAACATATCGTCCACATAAAGCGAAAGGATAATGAAGCTAGAATCTAAAAATCTCCTAAAATATACACACGAATCTACAACTGTCATCTGGTAGCCATGACTCAACATAAAAGAATTAAATTACTTGTACCACTGCCTGAGTGTCTGCCTCAAACCATAGAGGCTCTTCTTTAACTTGCAAACCATGTGTTCTTTTCCCTTCATTTCAAAACCCTTCAGCTGCTCCATGTAGATCTCCTCCTACAAATCACCATGAGAGAATGCAGTCTTAACATCGAGCTGCTCAATCTCGAGGTCTAAACTAGCTGCTAATCCTAAGATAACTCTAATGGACGCCATCTTCACAACCGATGAAAAATCTCATCAAAATCAATGACCTTTTCTAACCAAAGCCTTTCACCACTAACCTGGCTTTGTATTTCTGAATCTTTTTGTAGTCATCCTTCTTTAACTTGAACACCCACTTGTTCTTCAAAGCTTTTCTGTCCTTCGGCAAATCCACCAACTCATAAGTATTGTTTTTCTCAAGAGACTTCATCTCTTCCTTCATAGCCTGGAACCATCTATCATTATCTTTATGAGTATGTGCCTCCTGAAAGCTTTCTGGCTCCCCCTCTTCTGTTAGTAAAGAATACTTTGAAAAAGGATATCTCATGGATGGTCGACGCTCTCTAACTGATCTCCTAAGTTGTGGCTCTGTAAACTCTTGCTGCTGGTGATGCTCCCCCTGCTGAGGAGCCTCCTGCTCGTGATCCTGATCATCATCTCCCTGCTCTGATATCTGACTATCATCATCAATATCATCATCATGTACCTGCTCTGTATCTGTAGGATACAACTGTACTGGAGATGAAACGAGTGTCATATCTAGAATCTCACTAGCAATACTCTCTGACTGCTCTGCTCTTCCTCTTGAAAAATCACATCTCCTCGTCTGATAATTTATCTCTTTTCTGGATTCCATAGTTTATAGCCGAACTCATCTTCTCCATAACCAAGAAAGATGCAAGGAACTGCTCTATCATCAAGCTTCTGTCTCTTCTCCTTCGGAATGTGTACAAACGCCTTGCAACTAAACACCTTCAGATGGGAATAGGAAATATCTTTTCTAGACCAAACTCTCTCTGGAATATCAAAACCCAGAGGAACTAAAGGAGACATGTTAATTTTATAGCATGCAGTGTGAACATCTTTAGCCCGGAAGCTCTTAGGTAACTTTGTCATCTTCAACATGCATTTGACT